TGTACCTTCCACATGGCTGGTATCTGTTAGGTCTACTCTGGCACCTAACAGCATCTAGTGCAGGTACTCGAAGATATGGTGGAGAGACCCATGAGTTTTCAAAGAGACTTCAAGTTGCAATCATGTATTTCTTCGCAACCTTGAATTTGTTAGAAGTCTTGCTGATTTCATATCACTTGGAAACGAAATGTTGTGCAGTTACCATATTTCATGATTCACATGCTATAGTAGAAAAGCAGAGGACAAAAATATCGTGTTGAAATACAGCAAAGAAAGAAAAAATGACCCATGTTTGATATAGTAAAAAGAACTGAACACAAAATGAACCAACGTTTTCAAGGGGTAGCTCGTGGTTCTATAACTTCCGTGCATATTCTCAGTGCTATCTTAACCAACCATAAGTTATCCAATTCACAGTGACTAGGCATATTCATTTTTGGCCAAACTGCTCTGTCCACTGAATTGTACGGATGTAAACAGTAGCTTCTGGCCCAGTTGTTTTCAATTAAGCTGTAGCTATGGCTGACTGGAGGGGAAGTTTGTAATGTGTGCTGAGGCAGTTGTGTGATATTACATTACTATCCCAGGAACACTGAGAAGTGGTTATTTTTAGCTTTCACCTGAGCAAACATGACTCAGTTTATGGACCTGAATCCGTCCAGCCCCTTCTTAAATACACAAATTCTATTAATCCCTAGAACCACCTTAATGATGAAGGAAGGTCTTCAACTACAAATTCCTGTGAGTTGATTGTGGCTTGTTCAAAGGTTGAAGATAATTTCAACTTTCTCCATTTGGCTCTTTTCTCTTACAACAAAATGCCTTGTACTTTTTTTCCCCCTTCTTAAAGACACATCAGTTTTTGGTTTTTTGTTTGTTTGTTTGTTTGTTTAATTCTCCACTGTTTTGTGATCTGTGTAGTCACAATTTTGGTTACAGCTAATGAAAACACTTTATGGTCATCACCTACTAGCTATAAGCTTTGCTTTTCGTTTACTTGAAGAAACACTGGGAAATCATTTTTAGCTAGAGTAGCAAGTTGCCTTGACCTGTAAAGATGTTATTGGGGAAACATTAACTGGTCATGTTTGAGTATCAGGATGTCCATTTACTTACTCAAACAGTACATGTGCTTTCCCTTTTGGGCACTACTAGAAGAAAGTGGAAATGTTGAATTATCTTCAGTTTTTTAAATTATGTAAAGCATTTTTGAGACGAGAGGACTAATTTGTTCAAGTGAAGAAAATATTTGTGATTTTCACAGTCTAGCTTAAGATATACTTGAGCCTTCTCCAAGTTCATTGCCATAATCTTTACGAAAATATTAGTATTCCTGGGATTTTTTTCTTTATGGAAGAAACACTAGACTAATGAAAGAGTGAAAATAATGCAAGCTGCTAAAAAGGCAGGCGTTCACTGCATCCATTAAAAATGCTGCCTTTGTGCCTGTAAAGTGTTCACCTTCTCTGTTATTAAGTTTGGAATGTGGTTTTGGAGCTTAGCTGAGGAACTCAGCTAGTTATTTTTCGTTTTGGTCTGAGGAGTAAGAGACGTGTTTTTCAAAAGGGGAAAAAAATAAAGAAAAAAGGTTAGGTTCGTTTTGGAAGAATAGAAGTTTTTAAATGTAGGAACTATTTTCTGCAGCAAATAGTCAGTCTGAGTGTGTTAGCCAAAAATAGAATTCATGACTTTTGTCTCCCTGTTTATTTCTCCAACCACATTAAAAAGGGTCAGTTAAATGTGCCATTTAGCCTTTCTAATGTCAGTGGGGCTATTTAGCTGAGTCAGGATAACCCAAGTTTGATTGACTCATCTTTCCAATAATAAGCCAGTGACTGATTTTAGCTGGATTTGATGTAAGACATCTTTGTGATACAGTTTTGAGTTTTAGAGAAAATTATACCTTGTGGAGGTTAGAGACAACGTGTGCCGTAGTGTCCAGCACACTATGTTGAAGGACCCTCAGCTGTAGTTTAGTAGCATTGAGTTTTTTGGCAAGTTTTAGTAGACATTATCCCAGTATCTTGCAAACAAAGCATTTTACTTCTCAAAATTTACTATTGAAATAGATATTTAGGGGTAGCACGTATGTGGATTTGAACATTAACTTTTGCCTTCTAAACTTTTGCTTTCCATGTTCCTCCAGTTGCTGCCTGATCTCTTAGAGAAGAGATAATTTCTGCTCAGGAAAGCTCTGTAAACATAGTATGCCGAGTATCAGTTGCATGGACATAAACATATTTAAACCGCACACACAAGCCGTAATTTATAATGTTTTCCTTGCACTACTGACTTTCCAAGAAAAATTTTATAGATTTGTTTTTGAAATAGTCTATCCTGGCAGGACCCACATGAAGGAAACAGTGAAAGTTTTGAAGGGATGTAAAAACAGACTCCAGATAATGGAGGTGCAAGTACTGTTCTTGGACGGGGAAGCTAAATGTGGGGAAAGGGTGCTGATTCTGTCGACATTCATTTACAGGTTTACTAGAATCTCAGTCAAATCCCCAGCAAAAAAGGTAACAGGCCTTAAATAGGTTGGGGGAGAAGATTACTCCATCAGATACTCATAAAAATCATCAACGTGAAGCCGGGCTCGGTGGCTCAGCCTGTAATCCCATGCCTTTGGGAGGCTGAGGTGAGTGGATTGCCTGAGCCCGCGGATTCGAGACCCTCCTGGGCAGCAAGACCTCATCTCTACAATAAATCAAAAAAATCAGCTGGGTGTGGTAGCGCATGCCTGTAATTCCAGCTACTTGGAAGGCTAAGGCGGAAAGATCGCTGGAGCCCAGCAGGTCGAGGCTGCGGGGGCCGGGAGCGGCCACTGCACTCCAGTCTGGGCGACAGAGTGAGACTCCAACTCAAAAAACAAAACAAAACAAAACAAAAAAAATCATCAATGTGTAGGCTGCAAAACAATGCTGTGCTGGCCCATGAATTGGTAGTCTCACACGTGGAAAAGAGCGGATTATTCAGAAACATGTGCTGATATATGCCCAGTAGCAGTGATCTCATAAACCAGCAGAAGCGAAGGTCTGTCCCATAAGGATAATTTAAATATTTAAGAAAAATAAAACCGGAATCTTGCCTCATCTCTCACATCTTTTATAGCAAATTCCAGATAGAGCAACTAGTTAAACATTTTAAAAGATAAAATTCTGAAAAGTAACTAGTAGTCAATATAGGTGGCTGTTTATTGAACTTGGAAATAAAGGTCAGTCTCTCTCAGCACAAAAACATAGAAAAACCGTAGAGGAAAAGAGGGATTCTGTGTAAGAACTGGAACTTCTCTGTATTTAAGTCTGCCATAAACAAATGTAGATAACCGATGGAAAAGTTAGGGGAAATTTCCAACAACAGTTATTAGGCGTAGAATGATTCTTATTTGTAGATGGCCATTGCAAACTGATGAAGCAGCAGTTAATCTTGGTAGATCATGTGACTATTTTGCAACCACTATTTTGAAAACTTTTAACTTTAAATAAATTATTTACAATAGCTGACATCAACTTTATACTTTTTTGCGTGCTCAAGCCCTGTTCTGCTTGCTTCTTATGTGATAGCTTGCTTAATGTGTACAGTTACTCAGAGAGGTGGGTATCAGTGTTATTGCCGTTTAGGAGATGATAAAACTAACACACAGACAGGCTTAGTAATTTGGCCAAAACTTTCCTAACATGGATGAGTGGTGTCACAGCTGGAAGTGGGAGCGCCAGGAGTTGACACCAGACAGGTTGGCTCCAGAGCCGGAGCAATTTGTCACATGCTACTCTGCTTCTGGAAGTGAGTAAAAAGAAAAAAAAGACTGCACAATTATGTGCGATATGACTCTATTTTCTAAATATATGTGTTAATATTTGTGTATTCTCAAGTTCTACAGTTTAATTCATGTGCAAACTTTATCTAATTACACGCTCAGAAAAGGCAGATGGTATTTTGGTATTTTTCCAACAGCAGTTACTTCCCTCTAGTGAGATTTTGGGTAAATGTTTGTTTGAATTTAAAATTTCTATTTTTGGCCAGGCACGGTGGCTCACGCCTGTCATCCCAGCACTTTGGGAGGCGGAGGCCAGAGGATAGCCTGAGCCAGGGATTCGAGACCAGACTGGGCAACTTGGCGAGACCTCATCTACAATAAATAAAAAAATTTGCAGGGCATGGTGGCACACACCTGTAGTTCCAGCTACTTGGAAGACTGAGGTATAAGGATCGCCTGAGCCCAGCAAGTCAGAGCTGTGGTGGCTGTGAGCATGCCACTGCACTCCTGCTTGGGCGACAGAGTGAGACTCCAACTCGGGAAAAAAAAAAAAGAGAGAGAGAAAATGTCTATATTTTCTATTGTAATCATGTAACTATTATATAATCACAAAGTCATGTCTTTAAAAGTTGCATGTTTCACATTTGATTTGCTCTTTTGAAACACACGGTTATATTTCAGTTGCAGTGCCAGTGTTTGAGTTTCCACCTTCCGAGGGGTACCACATTCATGGGAGGCCATGGTTCCTTCTCTCAATCAAAAGCAGAGTTGTACAGTTTTAGAGCTGAGAGACGTCCTGGATGCCCATCCTCTTGTTTCTCAGACAAGGGTCCTGGAGCCGTTAGAGATGTGACTGACTTGCCCAGGATTCACTGACAGCAAATTGTTTAACCAGGCTTCAGGCCCAGGTCTTCTGACTTCAGACCCTGTGCTGTATGAGGTGCCAGAGCCCCCCAAAACGTGAGGCGGGTGCGAACACAGTGGATTTTTGTGATGCTGTTTTGGAGTGAGGAAGAAACGGAACTAGACTGTTGCCAAATGTTTCCTTTGGAGAGCGGGAGCTGAAAACACAATGAGAAGGCTCCTGGGATACTTTTATGACTCCTGTGGATGTCACTGGAGAATGATCCCTAGTCGAAGGCAGTGTAGAAGCTGGAGGGAAGACAGTCATGGAAAGGACATTAACAAGAAACGGCCATGTGACTAGACCCTTTTTCTAAAACAGACAAACATTCTCTTCCAGCTCCAGGGCCCACGACGGCAGTGTCCTACATGTCGGTGAAATGTGTGGATGTCCGAAAGAACCATCACAAGACAAAATGGTTAATGCCTTGGGGACCAAATCAGTGTGACAAGATCCGAGACATCGAGGAAGCAATTCCGAGGGAAATCGAAGCCAATGACATCGTGTTTTCTGTCCACATTCCCCTCCCCTCCATGGAGATGAGTCCGTGGTTCCAGTTCATGCTGTTTATCCTGCAGCTGGACATTGCGTTCAAGTTGAACAACCAAATCAGTAAGTGTACGCTCTTCTCATCCTTCTCTTCCCTTTGGGAATTCCCTTCTCTGGGCTCTTTCAGAGCCAGTCCTAATGACCGTAAACATGATAAGAGTAAAAGCAGACACTTACTGACAACTTACTACTTACCAGGCACTTTCAGAGTACTTTACCTGTATTAACCCATTTAATCTGTCCAGCAAATCCCTTGAGGTGGGTCTTATTAGTATTTCATTTTACAGGTAGATCACTTGGGCACCAGCGAGGTTCCCCAAGATCTGAAGACTAGAGCATGGAAGAACAGATTTCTAGCTCAGAAAACTCCCCTAACCACCAAGCTTCATCACCTCTCTAGTGCCACAGGGGAGCTCTCCCCAGTGGAATGATTTCAGGGCTTCTGAGAGATCCTTTGTTTTTGCTTTTTGAGTTGGAATCTCTCTCTATTGCCTGGGATGGAGTGCAGTGGCACACTCATGGCCACCCCAACGTCGACCTGCTGGGCTCTGGCGATCCTTCCACTTCAGCCTTCCAAGTAGCCAGAACTACAAGCGCACACTACCACACCTGGCTAATTGTTTTATTTATTGTAGAGACGAGGTCTCGCCAAGTTGCCCAGGCTGATCTTGAACCCACGGGCTCAGGCAATCCACTCGCCTCGGCCTCCCAAAGTGCTGGGATGACAGGCTGAACCACTGAGCCTGGGCAGCCCTTTGTTTTTAACTGTCTTCCCAGTGGGCTTTAAGTAAAGCCACGGCCTTAGGAATGGGACCCTGCCAAAATTGAAATGCCAACCCAGTAGCACCCATTTCCCCATTTCCCCCACTAGACCAGCTTTATTTTCTTTTTTCTTTTAATCAGTTAGTTGTAGTTTGAAACTCTGAGGGCATGAGATATATAAACATTTTGTGGGAAGGAAATTCCTGGGTACGATTTCCATGACACAGACATATCTGTGACATCTAGGGACAGTATTGAGATTCTTAGGCTGAGAAAGAAGAAAACATTTAAAAATGTAATTTAATTATTTAAAATAAAGTTGAATTAGGGATATCAGGCAAAGAGAAAAAAGTGTATTAAAGACAATTCTACCTGGGGTCAGTCCATGGATTGAAGCAGTTTCTAAATATAATTTACATGTAGCAGTGATAATTTTTTTTTTGAGTGGGAGTCTCTGTCACCCAGGCTGGAGGGTGGCAAACTCTCAGCTCACCACAGCCTCTCCCTCCTGGGCTCCAGCAATCCCTCTGCCTCAGCCTTCTGAATAACTGGGATTATAGGCATGTACCACCACATCCAGCTATTTTTAAAAATTTTTTTGTGGAGATGAAGTCTTGCTCTGTTGCCCAGGCTGGTCTCAAGCTCCTGGCCTCAGGTGATCCTCCCACATGGCCTCCCAAAGTGCTGGGATTAGAGGCATGAGTCACTGTGCCCAGCCTAGCAGTGATAATCTTGATATACAATTGCATTAATTTTACTCTGTTTAGGAGTTAGAGCAGTATGTGTGCCAGACTGATATCTTACCTGAGGTGAACAGATTATACTGAGATAACTTTCTAGAATGCAGAGTTTTCTTTTTCTCATTCATTAATTCTCTTACTCATTATTTCAAATGGTTTTTGAGTGCTGACTACTGCCAGGCACTATACTGGTGGCACCATAGGGGGGCTTATAGCTAAGTGGAAATGACAGACCTGCAACCGTGACAGTATGACGTGCAGGGTGCTGTGACCAAGGCATGCCCAGGAGGCTGTGGGAGCATGTGGCAGAGGGAGAGAAGGCTGCCCTGGTGTGCATGCACGCGCGCGCACGCGTGTGTGTGTGTGTGTATATGGTGGAGGATGTGTAGTGTTACAGAGGGAGAAGCATGGCACAGAGTTGGGTCTGGATGGACAAGTGCAAGAGCATTCTACGGAGAAAGAAGTGGCCGATAGGAAGGCCCAAATGTGCACAACAGCCTGAAGCACATCAATGGTGTCCTCTGTGTCCCTCATCTCTTGCCTGACTCACTCACTTGTTTATTGGTTGTACAACTCATTTATTGGCTCAAACATTATTTTTTTTTGAGGTTAAGAAAGGTTTATTTAAAAGTAAATTAGAGAGAGAAAGAGAAGGAAGAGAGACGATTCACCTCCCCGAGGTCGGGGAGGGGGCCAAAGCCAGGAAGCCTGGTGACAGACCCAGCTCAAAGAGCACATGGCCACACCAGAGTCTAGCAAGGCAATGGCCCGGCCATATGTCAAACAGTAGGTAGGGAAGATATAAGCTCGCATAAGACATGGGCTTGGGGAGAGAATGCCTGGAAAACAGACACTGAAGCCTGCAAAAGAGAAGGAACACGTTATGTGCTGTTAAGGAGACAAACAGACCATGTAATGTGTGAGCCTTGAGGTGGAAAGAGTTTGCTGTGAGATTCAAAACTGTCTGAAGCAGTTTCACAGACCGAGAGGCTTGGGTTTTAGTATTCCTTGTCCTAAGAATGTAATCAAGAAAAGGAGAATGAGGATGGTGAGAGGAAGCATAGGAGGAGGAGACAGGTGGACTGTCTGGCTTGTGTATGTGTGGGTCTCGGACATGGTGTTCTGTGCTCTGGGCTGGTTGCTTGGGATTTATTCCAGGCATGATCTCTCCTAGACAGATGCTCACCTCCCAGCTCCAGGTATAAAGGAAAATATTTACCCTGTATCCTAAATTAAGTGATTGCTGTCTACCGGCTATATTAGTGCTTGGCAGCAGGTTACCCTGAAACGTAGCAGCCGTAGTCAATAAACACACTTTTCTCATTCCTTTGGGTCAGGAATCTGTAGTTCGGGGGTCTCTGGCTTAGCCTCTCTGGAGGCCGTCGTTCGACTGTTGGCCTGACCTGCCGTCTCCTCGGAGGCTGGAAGGCCGCTTCCACCCTCGCTCCTGCGGTTGCTGGCAGGCCTGTACCCCTCCCACATCGGCCTCCCCATGGGGCTGCCTCACCGCGTGGGAGCCAGCTTCTCCCAGGGAGAGCGATCAAAGAGGGAGCAGACAGACCAGCGAGTGGCTTCTGCTGTGTTCTGTTGGTTAAAAGGAAACCGGCAGATCCAGCTCACGTGCCAGGGTGGCGATTACAGCAGGGGATGAACACCTGCAGATGGGACTCGCTGAGGACCCCTAGGGTGCCTGCCTGCCGGCTTGCTTCTCCAAGGAGCCGAGTTTCGTTTGAAATATGTTCCCTGGTGTATGTCCAGATGAGGAGGCCAAACAGTAGAACGTTTGAGATCATGGACTTGGGAGTCCTACAGAGATGGATTTAAATCCCTGTGCCGCTTTTTCCAAGCTCTGTGATGTTGGGCAAGTTATAGCACCTCTCTGAGCTGTAGTTTTTGCCTCTGGAAAATATAAATGATAATTCTTAATTACCAAATCACACTAGGGAATATTCGTTCATGTAAACCTTTTAGGACATAGTAAATATTATTAAATGTTAAATTTTTTTAAAGTACCTACTATAATTACACTTATCCTTATTGCCGAAATTAAACCCCTTTTCAATTCTTATTTCTACTCCTTGGTCAGTGGGAAGAGCCGTCCCGTCCCATCTTACCCCATGGGATATGTTCCGAGATCCCCAGAGGATGCCTGAACCCTGTATGCAGACACTATGATTTTTCCTATAAATACATACCTACAATAAAGCTTAATTTATAAATTAGGTTTGTTAAGAGATTAGCAACAGTAACTAACAATAAAATAGAATAGTGATCACAAGATATTGTTCACAACTCGAAGGACAGAAGATTCGTTCTTACCCTAGATCTTAGCAACCCCAGTCTTTTCTAATTATTACGTTGAGAAGTTTCACCTTTTTACTTAAAGGAAGCGCTTCATGGCATGCCCTAGGCATATCCGGTTTGCAGCATCACCCCTCTTGGGATCGCCATTCAGGAACATAAGCGGTGCTTATGTTCAAGTTGCCCTTATGTTCCTGTATGGCAACCCCAAGAGGGGTGATGCTGCAAACCGGATATGCCCAGGGCATGCTGTGAAGCTCAGGGAGGTGGCCACTGAGTGACTAACAGGCGAGAGCACGGGCGGTGGGGGGAGGAGACCAAGGAAGTGGCCCAGGCCCCGGACGGGTGGAGTGGACGGCGTGAGAGTTCATGGTGCCACCCAGAGCAGCATGCCATTAAAAACTGAGGAATGGTGTATTTCTGGAATATTCTGTTTAGTATTTTCAGGCAACGGCTGACCTCAGGTCACTGAAGCTGCAGAAGGAGAAAATGCCAATAAAAGGGGATGGCTTGGGCTTTAATCTTGCCTTTTTCCTGCCCTTAACACCTTCAGGGACCAACAAGGGACTTGGCATTCAGTTCTCTCCCTTCTGACCTCAGGCTGCTCTCTAGCCCTTTCTCTCACTGCTGACCTGGACTCCTTCTCTGCATCCTCCAAGGAATAATTTCCTGCTCTGTGACCACGCCCAGAAGTTTTCCCCTTTGCACCTTCCTACCTACCTCCTCTTTGCTTGGTGACTTCCCTTCCATAGAGGAAGGGCTCCTCGTTGAAAACTCACTCTTCCATCAGAACACCCCAGCGCCACACGCCCCTGGTGCCTTCCCAGGTATCACCTGTATTCCTCCCCCTACCTCCTTCCTTCTTGGATTTCATTGATCTTTCCTTGCATGCCTTTCCTCACTGACCTTGTGATGTCTACTTTATCAGCCTTGAGTCTGCGCAGCTGAACTTTCACTGACTCCTTACGAGATTATAAGCTCCAAGTGGACAAGTTGTGCATTATGTTTACTTTTAAAAATTTTTTGAATTGGAGTCTCACTCCGTCACCCAGGCTGGAGTACAGTGGCATGCTCACGGCCATCCCAGCGTCGACCTGCCAGGCTCTGGCGATCCTTCAGCCTCAGCCTTCCAAGTAGTGGGAACTACAAGTGTGCGCTACCATGCCCAGCTTATTTTTTGAGTTATTGTAGAGATGAGTTCTTGCCAAGTTGCCTGGGCTGGTCTGGAACCCACGGGCTCAGGCAATCCACTCGCCTTGG